ATTGACAATTATTTCCCGATGCTTTATTCTAAATCTCAGAGGAAATAATTGTTGTATTATTGACTTATACCGTACAGTGCTGCATACAGTACCCGGGTATTTATGTTGTACGTGGGATCAGAATTATTGTGGGTTTAGAATCGACTTAGGTTGGAACAGAATTCCAAATGTAGTCAAGGTCGATATGAAATTTAAAAGAAACTTAGGTTGATTCCATATTTGATTCCATATGGTTCCATAATATAATCACGTAATTAATAAATTTAATGCAGCTTAAGTTTTTACTAAATTCGATACGATAATAAATACGTCATGGATTGATAAATTATAGTTTTATAATAAATGTAAAATTCATATTTAATTAAATACATATTTTTTTATTTCGCTTGTTTGTTCTTTACAACTCTCTATCTGATGACCGAACATCAAGACTACCCATTTTTATCTCGTAATGCATTCAAAGACTTACTTTCCAGATATCTTGACAGTAAATCAATTAATAGATGATGTAAAACCTTTATTACACATGAAGATTTTGACTTCTGTATTAAGGTTATACAAGATCCAGCAATTACAATGATCGGGAATGCAAAGGATCATTATTGGGCGAAAAAAACATTTGCTGTACGTGATCTTGGGATGTCAACAAACCCTGTGATACAGCTTATTAAAGTTGATTCAAACCTACCTGTATGTCCTGTCAACAAGATATATGAAGTGTTGTGCAGTTTGCATCAGGGGTTTTAAAACATATTGGATCATCAAAGCTCTGGGATGTGGTATGTAATCTATAAAAAATTACTGTATAGTTAATATGAATAATAAATTAATTATTTTTTATACTTTTCACAGGTTTCAGAACAATATAGTTATATTCCACAGTCTTTTGTAAAGGAATTTGTAAGGAATTGCACGACATGTGCAACCCGAAGAAGTTTTCCAAATCTGGTAGCCGCAAAGCCGATTATCTCAAATGCCTTTCTTAATCGAGTTCAAGTAGATTTAGTCTCTATGACCAGCATTCTGGATGGGGACTATCGTTATATATGTCATGTGTGTGACCATTTCACACGATATTCTTGGGCCCGGGCTTTAACTAGTAAACAGCCAATTGAGGTGGCTATTTTTCTTTTTGATATTTTCGTTTGCTTTGGCGCCCCAATTATTCTTCAGACTGATAATGGTCGTGAGTTTACTGCAGAAGTAATTCGTGAGCTGTTAACTATATAGCCCGATGTTTATATTATCAATGGTCACTCAAGGCACCCACAAAGCCAAGGGCTTGTAGAACGTGCAAATGATATTTTTCAACAAAAAATTTCTAAATGGATGGAAGATATGAAAAGAACCGATTGGTCTCGTGTGTACCATTGTGCTGTTGTAAGTATTTTAATAATTTTCTTTAAATTTTATGCTTATTTTTTACTATAATCTAATTTGAGCAATTTTTTAACAGATGCTATGAATATACAAACTTCATGGCAAATTAATAATAGTCTGTATGCATTAGTATTCAGACAAAATCCTTTACGTCATTTTATATTATTGAAGGAAATCAAAGAGCATTGTATTAATTCTGAAGATGAGCTGCCCGATAATTGGTTTGAGCCTACTGAGCCTCAGGATGATTTCGATCGACAAGACATAGTAGAATCACTTTTAGGTGCCGCAGCTTTAAATATAGAGGTTTTTTTTTTTCTTTAAAATTTTTGGGTTTAATAACTTACCGCTGTAGCGATATATCACACTCTATAAGATCTGGTGCAACGTAAAGTCAATAGATGATAACCTATTAGTTTAGGGTCAGGTTAAAGTTAGACTAGGGTTAGTGTAAGACAATAAGAAGGAGGTTTTATTATGCAAGAGATGGTTTCATAAGAAAAATTTTGCGTTATAATTGATTTTTAACAAAAAAATTCTATTTCACATTACACCTATCTTGCATTCTACTTGATTGAATCAGGGTAGCTATGGCAGTAAATTGCAAAACCCTTAATTTATTATTATTTTAAATTAATTGATTTTACATAAATTATGTTTAGGAGCAACAATTATTAGAGCATATTAATGAAGATGAAATGATAGATAGAAGGACGGATGATGTGATCGATAGAAAGACGGATGATGTGATCGATAGAAGGGCAGATGATGTGATCAATAGAAGGGCAGATGATGTGATCGAAGTGACTAATGAGGCAGAAGATTATGTGGTAGATGATGTAGATGATACGGTAAATGAAGCAGTGATAGATGAGATTGCAGACGAAGTGGTAGAAGGGATTGTGGACAAAATGGATAGGGCAGTAGAAGAGATGGGGGAAATGGTGAATAAAGAGGTGGACGAAAGTGTAAATGAAGTGGTAGTAGATGAAATAATGGATGAAATAATGGTTGATGAGATGACAAATGAAAGTGAAGAAGAAAAAGAAAATATGTTAACCGATGTAAATATTTAATTTTATAATTTGATTTGCACAAAATAATGCTTAATAAAAATTTTACAAAATAGATACCTGAAGAAAGTGAATTATTGTTTGAATCATCAGTCGATAGAAATTTACCTGATTTACCTGAAAATAATTCTGAAGTCTGTTCAATTAAAAGGTGTAAACTTTTGACTTTGACTAATACTACATGCACAAGCGTTCAGGTATTTGAATGTCATGTAGTTATTTATTTTAATAACAAACTTAAAATATTTTTTTTATTTTTTCTGTTTTTTTTTAACACAAAAACAACATTCAGCAAACATCAGCGCATGAAATCTATCGAAGTATTGCAATGAAATCTCTTGAAAGATATCAAACCCATATGAAGTCGCAACTTGACAAACGTAACAAAAAATTTTTAAATAAATATAATGCTGGAGATTTCGTTCATATCAAGATTCCCGATATTGATAGAACACATAATGATCGGAAAACACTTCCGTGCAAGATCCTTGAAGTTTTAAAGGATGATATGTACAGGGTTGGATGCAAATCTGGAATTATTA